ATTAAGTTCTGCAGGTTGTCCTCGTCAACAAAAAGCAAGCTCTTCTTTTTCAAGAGTGGGAAAGCTCGTGCTGGTCATTGCCTCCCCTTTCGAGTTGTGTCAAGGACGGCTTTCCAAACAATGCTTGGGTCAACTAGTGTCTCATTAACATTGTGTTGTATCAGGGTGTCACTGCATCCTCGGCTCGGTTCGTCAGCAATGTTCGATTCGGTTGGCACCCTTGCAAACCATGCATTCCATTTCAGATCAAATTCCATTTGTATGATTGCACTGAGTATTGGACCTGCGTTTGAGCTTCCAGTGAAGCATGCGATCAAAAAATCTTTAACACCTTCATTGTCGGTGTAGACAACAACTTGGCTGTTTTCCAGGACTTGCTTCCAAGTAAACATTGCAACAAAAATGGAGAGAAGCTCACATTCAAAGATCACTGTCTTGCGTCCAGCGGGGTTCACCTTCTCTAGCTGCGCTGATGTCAGTGTCGTCGAGAAGAAACTTAGCTTCTTTCCATACTGGTCAGCCAGTACAGCTCCTAAGCCAGCTATGGGGGAGCCATCTTTCTGTTCATACGAGGTATCCGTAAACAGGAAAAACAGAGCCTGCTGTGCAACAGAAATCTCTCGGGGCACATCGATCTGTAGGAGTCGCACAAAAAGTTGTAGGGCATGCACCGAGTCGTGGGACAGCTCTGTACCACCATTACCATAGGCATGTTGAGTGATAATCGCAAGTGCTTTCTTTGCTATGCGCCCATAAATTTGTCCTGACACGAATTGTAGGCGGCCTCTCAGCCTCAAAGCGTCTTGTCTGTTGAGAGTACCGTGTTCCAGGACATGTTCAAGCACATGGATCAACTCTGTCTTACGACTTTTAGTGTTGTCGATCAAAACACGACCATTGTGCATGCAAGCGACATCGAGCTGAACTCCAAGGGCGGTGACTAGGCTCCCAAATGGGGGAGCTTTGTCACCCGTCTCCGCAAAGTCCCATCCAAGCGTCTTGAACGTCATTGTCACAGCGGATGTAACTGGCTCGACTTCAGGTCGTTCTGCCAATGCAATAAAATCATCGAAATAGTTTGAAATGCACACGCCAAAAACAGAGACCAAGATCGCCCACAAACTGTGGGCAATCCTGAGAAAAGCATGCACCGATCTGACGCTGCCAAATGGCAACGCCAACATCTTGAAGCATTTGACTGAACGGGAGCTTGGGTCGGCGACAGCGATGTAGCTGTAAGTCGAAACTCCTAACAAGCCAGGGTTCACTTCTGGTCAACTTGGTCATGACTGCAAGGCACATGCTGCACAACACATCCACTGTATGAGGTTTTGGCGACTCGCTAGTTTGCGCACACGCGTTCACAGAAGATTGACTGAAGTCATCAACACATCCGATCTTGTTTGACTGTCTCACGCCGAATCTCTTGCTAAGCGGGTAACTAGGCTGTATCTCTGTGATATCAAAAGGCCCTTGACTCTCACCAGCATCGCGCTCAGCCAAGGTTTGCTCCCACGCCGAACTAATCACATCTTGGTCCATGAAGCTGAATGCCTCATAGGTGATGAGAGGTCTCTGGCTTTCCGACACCTGGGACAGATCATGCGGTGTCATAGATGCCGGAGTAAATTTGAAAGGCCAAAGGGATGTTCGTTCGGCTTCTCCAACAAGCTGAGTGCCAGTGTAGAATTCTGTCACTACACCCATGTCCTCATAGTTTATGGATTGTAGCATTTCTTGCCAAAGCAGGATGCGTTTCGACTTGAGGATCTTCCTCACGTCGGGGTGCAAGGTCTGTTTGAAGTCGGCTTCCTGGGAACGTAGCTGATGTGCCCTCTTCAAGAAAAACGCCAACTTCTCAAGCCTCATGCGGTTGCGCTGTTCCGCACTCATGAATGACTGTTGATCAATCATGACCTCCAATCTCTTTGGAAGAAAGCTTCCCATGGCCTTGGGGTGCCCTGCTTTCACGGCTTCCTCAAAGAACTCCTCTGGCGTCCAAGGGATGCCCCATAGCTGAGTTGCGCTATCCTCACTATTGTCACCAAGCGACAAAACAGCTGGAGGCGGGTCGTCCTCCCCCCGCTGATCAAGAACGGCTCCAGGTAGGATAGCTAGAAGCTTAGATCCCTTATCCAGTGTCTGGACCGGATTGGAGGTGAGCTGCAAAGGCGCACGGAGTCGCTGAAACAACCTTGCTTCGGGGAGTGCAGTGGGATCCCCTCGAAGTCGGACTTTCGACTTGTAGGTCCGGATCAACGCGGGAATTCGGCTTGCTTTGGATTGCATGCCAACTGTGGCCCTCATTTTCTGCAGCGCTTGCAAGGATGTGGGTTGCACTGCGTCGAACGTCTCTGCGTTTGCACTTATCCCAAATCGCATCAACGATCTAACAATGACCATTCCGATCATCTTGGTGAGGCCCATCGGATACGCCGTTTCTTCAGCTGTTGCGAAGCGTTTCTTGTGTCTGTCGTAGCCCCACCTTGCACGCCTATGAGAGCTGCTCTGTCCCTTGCATGTTGCATTGATTGCATGAAATTCCGGAACATTGAACGCCAGCATAGTCTTCTTCTGACGTGCACTACCATACTGACATGAATGAAAAACTGTATATTGCATGAGATGTGCTACCTGCTGCCAAAAGGTCGTCGCCCAGAAGTGACTGAACTGTGGATTTTCCACGCAAACAATGACCCCTGTTTCAACGGCCCATTCGACAACCTGTGCGGTAAGAAAATATAACTTGTTTGCTAACGACACTCTCAGATTATCTGTATCAGACAGCTGAGGCAAGCCGTTCGGGAACTGATCACTGCGAAGGGGTCGAGGTCCATGGCTTCGTCGCAAGATACCTTGGCGTGTCCTCTTCAGCGGAATTTGCCTCGCCCTGGAGGCAGTACCACAGGGTGGTGCCAAGAAAACTGCAATGACTTTGTCATTTGCAAGCCATGACCACAACAATGAAATAACTTAGGTGTATTGAGGTCTGCCTGGATCACAGGTCCAGCTGCATGTTTGCTCCGAACGTGATCCACACCAAAACTGCTGCCCATTCCAAGTTGTCTAAGACATGCAGTAACACGGCAGCTTCCTGCAAAAATTTCCAGTGAGAAACAGTCCGCAAGCCGGTACCCCTTCTCAACTGCTCTCTGAATTCTAGGAAATAGTCACGAGGTCTTGGCCCCGGGGTTGTCCTTGGGCTTTGCTGGATGTTCGCTTTCAGGATGTGGGGCGTGACATCCCTTTCTCATGCATAAATGAAAGCCTCGACCGCATTGACCTCCGGCAGGTGCACCTGAACAACGACCGAGGTTGAAGTCGAAGCAAAGCCTCCGACCATGAGGATCGGTTGACACATTGTCCCGACCCTGCAACTCACGCGGAACCATCGATGAGTTTTTCCCTTGCCCTTTTCCTTTGCCCTTTTTCCCTTTCCCTTTCGACTTGCTGTAAGGGTGAAAGGCTTCAGCACGCTGATGACCCCAACTGTTGTAGCTTGATGTGGCTTCAACACGCTTCGTCTCAACCTTGATCTCCTGCTTCTTGGGATAAGGCATAAGGCAGAACCCAACTTCATACGATGACATAGCCTCAAAGATTGCAGTGTCCATCTCTAATGTGTTATCCGGCAGGCGCCTTACTGAGACATCCTTCTGGATCATGCGCATGAATGTTTCTCGATCTGCTTTCAGTACCTGTTGCAATGTGGTCTTGTTGTAGCCTTCAGGAGCGTCATTCCTCAGGTGCTGCATGAGGCGCTGAAGATATCGCTCGTGGCACTCCCATGTCAAAGTGTCACTGAAGGCTAACGCTATTCCTCTGCGTCTCAGGGCCTCAAAGACCTGCATCTCGGAAGACACCTGCTGGTCAGGTACCGTCTGCTCACCTTTCACGAGGAGCTTGTCAACATCGATCGAGAGTTGCCTTGAAGTCTTCCCCATAGTCACCTCCCACTCACGACTGGTGCACTTGTCAACTGCTTTGATTCCCACTGCTGTGAGACAATGTCAAGGAGGTGATGACTGGGCTCTAATGATTTCTCGATCACAACACCCACCAAGCGAGTGCGAAGGTTTCTCCTTTTGACCTCACGCTCAACTGCAGGTAATTTCCTCGTGGCTCCGGCATCTGGATTTGATACCTGTTCATGTAACTGGGCCAGCAACATTGTCTGGCCTTCAAACACAAGGCGCTTGAGCGTGCTCACATCTGCTAGCGATGCCATAGCTCCAAGGACATTCAGGGAGAACCTATTGAACTCAGTCTCGACCATACACTGTCCAGGCTGGCCGCATGCGAAGGCCAGTTGGCCAAGATTTGTATATCCTGCATTGGTAAGTGCTGCGAGACCTCTATCTGAAAGCCCTGTCTCGGCGCACCGTTTTCGGAAGTGAGCTTCCGACTCGACGATCGAGGTCATGGCAACTAAGCTCATGGCGCACAACCCTGAGTGCCCAAGGTTCAAACAAAAAGTTCACGACATCCAACACTGCTTCACAAAGAACAATCAGCTCAAAGAACTAAAACTCATGACACATGCCATGTGCACCTACAGGCTTGCCGCCCCCAGATGTCCACAACATTCGTAGACCATTTCATTAGTTGGCATCCCACATTGCTGTGAGCCGACATACTTTTGGTGCGCACAGAGCACCTCATCCCTGTTGCCACATGGCAAACTGTCAAGACAAACTTGACTCTTCCTGCACATGCAGGTAACCCCAACATAGGGGCATCACTTACATCGAGTGCCAACATAGGCAGTCACATTCCAAGGGGGATACAAACACTTGTCTCAGGCTCACATGTCAAAAATAAACTTCGACAGTCTCAGCTCACATGACATCAAAACTAAGTGTGGGATCTCACGGGGTTTCACTTTTGTCACATCTAAGGGCGAAGCGATCAGTTGAAGCGTCCTGATGGGTCTCTCAGACCCCTGAAACAAATCCTACATTTGTAGGTCCAATCGCTTATGGATCTAATGACACAGAAATTTGAATTCGTCAGTCTTCCACATTTCGTTGCACTGTCACGCAGCAGCTCTAAGTTCCCGGCTTCTGAATCTGACACTCTGTCAGCTGCGTCGGCTACCGCATGGATGACTCTGGATTTCTTGTTCTGAACCCAGGCGTCGACACCACCTTCTTCTGAATGAAGTTCTTTATACAGAACGGGATCCGATGCGTGTTCACTTTCCTGACTTGTCTCGGCAAAATCATCACCTTCGGTGGAAGTCTCCGAGCTTGATGAAACAAGGTCGATCTCTTCGTTCAGGAGGTCAGCAGGCACGACCTCCTGCTTGACATCTGTATCTGGTCCTGTCTCCTCGCGCTCTGCCGTGACAACTGCAGGTGTAGGTGGAGCACGCAGAAATCCTGGTGTTGATGGCTGGAAGATCGGTGCTCCTGACAAATCCGATGATCTTGCTGCAAAGAAATCTGATCTTCCTTTGTCTGGACAGAACTCCTCATTGCGGATCATCCGAATGACTTTCCCAAGTGACCTGACCGGCTCAACCATCAGGTCGGTGGCATAGATGCTGTCTGAGTCCTGAACGGCACTAGCATGGCGCCCCAGCAATCTGCGATGATCTCTGTTGACACCAGCCTTGGCTGCCCAGCTCAAAGCCGTCCTCTTCAACGAGTGCGACCTCAAATCATGGTCATTGCAGTTTAGCAATGTCCTGAGAATTTTTGTTGTCTCTGCGCACGACAAATGCCTCTTTGCCCAACGGTCAGGTTTCACTAGGTCAGGTGCCGGCATGACCGCTCCGTCAATGATTCCAGACGTTGGCAATTTCGACTTCTTTCGCAGCGTCAGCCACATGTCCAGCCAAGGCTCAGGCCCTACCGACTCTCCACATGCAATGATTGGCATGAGCATCGATTTCGCCTCGACAGATCTGGCCGCCTTGTGGTACCTGGTTGTGAATTGGATGAACCCACCAAAACTCTCCGGAGACCCTCGCTCGGAGTGATCATGTGAGATATCGTGTGCAAACGCAGAGTCACTGTTTCGGCTCCGTGTATACACCATCAGAACTAAATGGCTGCAAATCACTCGTTCATGAAGAGGCCGCTTTGCATCAGACATGATGCGGGATAACTTCTGCACCTCCTCGACGGTCAAGGGCCGAGCTTGTTGCGTGGGTCTCTTCATCGCAGCCTGCAGTTCCGACTGGCCAATCAGCCTGCGACTTGCCACACACTCCTGCGCTCCGTCGACCTGCAGCACATGAAGACAGAACCTGAGGGCTTGCACAAATGAAGTTGCTCTGGTGGGGGCCGCTCCCTCATTTTTGAGTTGCACGAAATAGTCCCAAACCAAACTTCCTTGCAAAGGGAAGGCCGGCTCATCACTAAAGCTGGCCAGCCATCTTTGGAAAGCAAAAATTGCATTGCGCCGCTTCACAATCGTTGAAGGGGACTTCGTCCCAATGATGGAATTGATCACATCGTCACAGTCAGATCGAAGCTGGCCCCCACCGTCAATGCACTGTCGCCCAACTTCACTCGCAGACCAGTCAATCTCCAGAACGCAGCGCAACTTGGCCAGCGCTGACTTCATCGTCTTTGCTCTGGCCTGCAAGAAATCTAAGTCCGCTGCATTCCGAACGCACCTCAGTACACTAAAGTCCGCTTGAGTCTCGACCTGAGGAATCACTTCAGGGATGGGGTGTTGCAAAGGGTTGTCAAAAGAAACACTCCAGTTTGCAGGCATCGCCAACTTAGGTTGCCCAACAACACTTCCAAAGATTGGACTCATCAGCTCACTCTCCCAAGGCAGAACAATACTTGAGGCCACAATTCGATCTGCCATCGCCGAGGCCAATGACAAGGCATCGTCCACATTTGAGCTGACTGCAGGGAGTGTTGATGAAGGTGATGAAGACAAACAGCCATCATTTCCAAATCTATCCTTGTCGACAGGTTCCTGTGCTGTCCGTCTCTTCTTGGACCATTTCAATCTGAAGCCTCTGAGGTCTGCATCGCCGTCGAACTCATCGTCTGCATCGATGGGCGTATCATCAGCGACAGATGATGGCTTGGGAGAATGTCCGTCGGGCTCTTGACCCTGGTCTTCAAGGTCAACAATGAGGCTACTGAGGTCCTCAGGGACGTGCTCCCATGATCCAGAGGCTTGTGAGGCGGCGGGTTTGAGAGCATCCTCGCCCTCACCAAACATGGCTATCCATGGCACAATTCCCCCCCGCCAGCGAAAAGATCCAAGAAAGAAACATGGTCATGTACATTGATCAAATGTCATCTATACTTCACATAAGAAATTCAACCTCTTGCAAGTTCCTGGAGCCAGACTCGGATGTTCATGAACAATCATTCACTGCAA